TGGGATCTCAGTGTGTAATTTAATGCACACTCGTGAGAGTTAGCCAGTCTGTCTGCTCTCTTTCTGCTGGTAGCCAGATCTCTTGTGAGTGTGTTTGAGACAACTGGAGCTGTTGCTGCCCTGTTCATTCCCTGGGAGCGTCTGGATGCCTCTGTCAGTGGTTCAGTAAAGGGAGTTGCCTTCGTTTTGAAAGATGTGCTCGTTATTTCAGGAGTTATAAAGTCAGTGGAGGAGACAGAATTGAACAGCACCTAAGTCAATCTTTGCAGCACCAAAAGCTTTGAGCATCAGAGTGAGGGGGCAGATTGACTGGCTCTTCTCAGGGGAACAGCTGACAAGGAGAGGAGCTGTGCCCTGGATAAGGAGGAGTTGCACAGCTTCTCAGGGAAGATGCTAAGAAGGGGAGGGAGTTACCTAATTTCACATGCTTCAGTCTGCAAGTATAAGCCTTAATTTTTACTTGATCTTAGATTTTGATTGATCTTCACTTGGTTAGTGAGTCTAAGGAGGGGAACTTTTTTTCCTGCTTGCAAGCAGAAGAGAACATCCTTCAAGTAAGAACACTAATGGACTCCTAAAGTACTTTAAAATGATGCTGCTTTCCCCTGTGCTTGTGCTATCAGTTCTCTGAAACCCAGAGGAAATCTGCTGTGTCTGTTTGAATTCTCATTGCAGGTCTTTGAATTTCTCATCCGGCTGCATTCAACTGAGGGATCTGTGGATGAAGAGGTCTACCCTTATGTTCGTACCTTGCTGCATTTCGACACTCGAGAATTCCTTAACGTTCTAGCTCTGGTAAGAGATCACTGATCTCCTCCAAGAGAAAAATGCAACCCCAGTTCTTCCTTCATCTCTGTCATAGTTGCATGATCTCTAAGATTCCTTTTAAAGAGTTAATTCTTTAGCTAAACCAGAAGTTATTGGCTTGATGCAAGAACAGTTTTAATGTGTGTTCTCTAAGATATCAGAGGAGATCATTGTAGTCCTTCATGGCCTTAAACAAAAATTGATGAACATGATGTTACACAGACTGGTAACAGAGGCCATCTTTAAAGTAAAAGTGAAACAAGAATAGTGCATTTGTAAAGACTGGTTTAGTACCTACATCTTTCTCCTGCATGAAGATTCATCTTTCTTCCTTTCCAAATTTCCTCTGTCTGTTGGACCTGTCACTTTTACCTAACTTGTCTTGGAACCTGCTGCTTGGGGGACATGCACAGAAGGGGTTTAAAAGCGTTGTCAGTTTTGTGATATGGCTGCTTCTTTGTGTCTGCTTGTATTTCTGGGGTTGGCAGTAGAGAGCATTCTTCTCAAGGTGTCAGTGTTTTGCTTCATGCAGACTTTTGAAGACTTTAAGAATGACAAGCAAGCTGTGGAATATCAACAGAGAATTGTGGACATACTTCTGAAAGTGAGTGTGCCTAAAAATTAACCTCTGTGTTTATATTTAACTGATTATATATAAAACTGTGCAGCAAAGCCTGTAATTTGGATGAGGTGTTCCCAGTCCTGCTCTGGATAACGCCTCTAAGAAGGTGATGGGCCGGAGTGTGGATTAACCTCAGCCAGGGCTGTCAGTTGGATATTTGGAAGTGATGCTTCATGCACATTAAATATGGTGACAGAGAGGTCTCCTTTCCTGTCTGTTATTTCACTTGGGTTGTACTTCATTGTCAAATTTCTCCTCTGCACTCTTAAGCTTATTTCAATAAGCTTCTCATTGATTCCACTCCCTGATTCCTTCTGAGCAGGAAAAAAGGGTCCTAGGAATGCTGAGCTTGGCAGGATGCCAATGCCCTTCTGATAAAACCCTGCTCCCTCTATCTGTAAATGTTGTGTTTGAGATGTAACATACCAAGAATGATAGGCCTATCTTTAGTAAATGGGAGAGAAGAGGAATGTCAGAGTTATCAGCCTGGTGCTCTAGAAATCACTTGTCATCCGCAGACCGTGTTCCTTAACAATGAATGTTCTCATTAAAAACCTATCTCTGCCAAATGCCGTTTGCTTTCCCCTTCTAAGCTGTCAGCATTAATAATGAGTAACTCCACTTGGAAGATGTTTATGTATAAACATATCATAAGTAGCGTTTCCCAGTCACTGTCATCACTGATAGATGAGTGAACTGACAGTGAGTGAGTTCAATGGCAGTGCTGCTGCAGCAGGCTGTGTTGGAGGGGCTGAGATAATGCCAGTGGGGGGGAACTTTTGTGAGTCTGCCCAAGCAGGCTGTTAGCCCTGTGAGGATGTTAGCCCTGTGCTGGGTTAGACCATGATTTTTTGTGTCTTTAGCTGTCATCAGCAGGAGGTGGCATACCGCAGCTGTGTTCTGGAGCTACTGTGGAATGTGTTCCTGTTGCAGCGCATAGGCTGGATGGAGCTGTTTACAGCCCTGCTCTGTGCTGCTGGCCATGTAGCAAATGTCCACGAACCCTGCTCTTGGAGGAGGAAAGGAAGGCAATTGTGAGAAGTGCTGCTGGATTAAAAGCATCTGCAGGCAGATAGTTTGGTGTTAGGAGAACTGTCGGTCCCTTGGTCTGGAATCTGCTCTCCTTTTGGATACAAATAAAAAAATCTTGGAACTTTTTATTTAAATTTACCCCTGGCAAAAAAACCCAAACAACCCACTTAGGAAATAGCTGCATTTTTAAAATAGTTTGGTCAACATAAGACATTCTGCTAATGCTAAACTTTACCAAATATATCATCTTTTAGAACATCCACACGGTTGGCCTGCAACCTCTCGAAGGTTGCTGTTGCAGAGGTGCAGTATTTTTACCTTCGCATGGACTAATGAGGACCCGGTTTGTGAAAAACAAAGCCAAAACAAACAAGCACTTCTATTGCTTTAGTGAGCCATATTTTTAATGCTATTAGCTAAAGCCATTCTGACTAGGCTTCTGTAGGAAATAGCCTTTTTAAACAGAAAATGAAGATGAAAAAAGAATTATAGTGTTAGCAATTTTTCAAGCAGAGCTCTACTTGGTACCTTCATGTGTCTTACCTGTCTGCCTCCACTTGTATAAGATAACCATTAGCAGCTCACGGGGATCTGGAACTCTGGGTCACTTTAAGAAATCAGCTGTATCCCTCAAGCTTAGACTGAATGAGGTTATAAGCTGTGAGATGCTCTGTGTCTAGGCTGTGCTATAAGCAGTTCTTAGATGTTAGCTGACAGAATTGTTCAGGTGATGGATTTTCTCCCAGCTAAACCCAGTACTTTCAGAGGGGGACTCTCCAAACAGGGACATTTCATATCCCCTTAGTGATTAGGATTTTCTTAGAAACATGAGACACCAAGTCAGGACACATCACACTCATTTTCTACATGCCAGATGGGTGACAAGCACTTCTTGGGTTTCAAATCCCTTTTGTAGTGAATCTTAGATATTCTTTTTTCTGTAATTTCAAGTCAAGTTAGCACAGTTAGAAGTTTTTCAAAATATTTGTAGACTAACAGCTAATTCAATGTGAGAAAAGAAAGTTTTCCCCAAACCTACAATTTTTAGTCATTTTAGTTTTTAGAGTTTCTTAGTCATTAGATCAGTTCTTCTGCATGCCACAGTTGAAGAGGTGGGAGTCTGGGGCTAGAAGTCAAATGTATTTTCTTCCCTTCTGTAACTCTTTATCTTTTTTCCTCATCTGCTCAGAAGCACTATTACATGTTCAGTGATCAGCACAGACTACCAGAGATGGAGATAAACCTGAGCTTGGAGGCACTTCACACCTGAAAATCAGGGATGTACAAGAATACCTCCCTTGAGTACACAACAGAGAGGTTGAGATTCTTCAGCTTAAGGAGAGAGGTGATTTAGCAAGGACACATCCAGGGTCTTCAGGTCACACACCTAAAGGCCATGGAAGGTGGCTTTAGCCAAAAAGTGGCTTTAGCCAAAAGGCTTTGACCTTCAGGATGGACTAATACCGGGAGACTGTGTAGATGTTTAGGGCAGAAGGAAACACGAGGGCTGTCCAGGGATTTCTTGTTGCAGTGTTCTGATTGCTTTCCCAAAGGCAGCTGCAGAATCTGTCACTTGTGGTTTTATTTTTCCCTTTCTCTCTAATGCTTCTCAGGTCATGGTGGAGAATTCTGACTTCACCCCATCACAAGTTGGCTGTCTCTTCACCTTCCTTGCCCGTCAGCTTGCCAAGCCCAACAACACATTGTTTGTGAACAGGACACTTTTTGACCAGGCAAGTATTCCTTTGTGAAGGGTGTCAAAAATCCCAAACAGGGCACAGCACTACAGAAAATGTGGCGAGCGCTGTAGGCTGAAGCAATTCATGAAGTATTGGTGCATTATAAAACACGTAGCATCTTGCTGGGACTTTGCTGTGGTTTTGAAGAAGCAGAGTAGAAGCAGACCACAGAAGCACAGTAAGCTTCATATTTCTTTTGTCATAAGACCAGAGAGCTCTGCAAAGGCTAAATGGATATGGATTAAACACTAATTACAGATACATGAAATTTTAGTAATTACATGATTTCCTGTTTTTCTGGAGAGAGATGGCTCAGTCCAGGAGAGAAGTCAAGAGGGTCAGCATAGTGGTTCCAGCTGTTTAGTGTGTAGTCTAAATCAGGGCCACAGGGTCCCCTAAATTCTTTATATTCCCTGGGTTCCCCAAAGTTTGGTTTTAGATCCTGGTGCAGAGTCATGGGTTTCCCTCCCTGGAGTCTTTCAGCAGTTCTTGGTCACTCCAGTATTCTTAAGTGTCCCTAGTTACAGGACCAAGTAGAGAGTGCCTCACAGATGAATAGTACATTCAGATTGCACCATTGTGTTCTGATTTGCTGTTGCCACTAATGATGCTCACAGTCTGCTTGTGGAGTTTATGCTAACAGCTATGCTACCTAGGCCTAAGTCATGCTAACTTCTACACCCTTGTGCAGGTCCTTGAATTTCTGTGCAGTCCGGATGATGACTCCCGCCATTCGGAGAGGCAGCAGGTAACAGCCTTCAAGGGAACGTTTCTTTAAGCACCAGGTATGACCAGACTGTAGAGCAGAGTTTGGCCTCCCTGGGAATGGATGCTGGCTGAAGGTCATAAGCCAAAGCAGACACCTAGCCTAGGAATGGTGGCCAGCATGGAAGAATTGGGCAGTGCTGTACACAGAAGTGAAGGAGGATCTTACCCCAGCGTTGCCTGCAGGACAGGTTTGACAGCAGGAAGAACACAGGCAGGAAAATTCCTGGATAAGCTCATGACCTTCATAGCTAATGGACAGACAATTAAAAAAGGTCTGTAAAATAAGCTCTATGTTAATACAAAGTTTAACAGAGCAGGGGCAGTGTACTTTTAATAGCACTGGCTGTCCAGCTGCTGTAGCAATACAAATAACTGGTCTTCAATATCTGCAGGTCCTTTTAGAATTGCTCCAGGCAGGAGGGATAGTACAGTTTGAAGAGAGCCGTCTTATCCAAATGGCAGAAAAAGCTGAATTGTAAGTTGCTGTGTACAATGTACAAATGAGGCCTTTAAATCTTGTGTATGATATTTATATCTCCTCCAAAGCTTTTTTCCTCCACATTTCTTGTTCCTACTTTGCAGCTGTGTTTGGGATGATTTTCCCTGTGCATTCACATATGCTTCATTTAATATGTTTATATTTAGTCCCAGTCTTTCTGTCGTATCTCTACTGGGTGTTCTTACAGAAGGCATTGTTAAGGTAAGAGGGGGTAGAGCTGTGGAAACCCTTCAGCATGAAACTCCGTGGGGCTTGATGAGTTTTGGCACTTCATATCCAAGAGCCCAGGCTTTGCTCAAAGGTATAGTTGTATATTTGAATGCTCTATCACTGACAGATGGAGATGACTCGTTGGGGTGAGACCCACAGGTGGATTTAAGAGTATGAAGGGGTCTGGAGCCACCCCCATGGTACTCATTTTAGAATTGAGTAGGAGGGACGAACACAATGTCTGGAAAGGCTTAAAATTTCCACCATCTCCTTTAGATGCTTTATACTTCCAGAAAGAGTCTAATATGCCTGAGCAGAGTCAGCCAATGAGAGCATCTTCAGCCAAGTCTTGAATTTGGGTGTTATGTGAATTAATCCACCATACTGCGAAGGACCAGAGGGCTAGAGGACCAGTGGTGGGGTATGCTGTGCCTGTTTTCATGTGTCCTAGGAGTTACTCAGTCAAGTTCTTCAGGCTCCAGAAATGCATTTTTTTTTTTTTTCCTTCTTGCTTCAGAGAGTTAGACAGCCAGGACCACCAGCTAGCCTCTTCCATCAGAGCTGAAAGACCTATCATGTAATGTCATTTAGCAGACATTTCACTTGTTTTGCCTCAATTGCATCTTTTTTTATCTGAAGTCTCAAAATATTTCAGATGTTTACTAAAATTTGATGGTAGGGAGCTGTGTCATAACACATTATCGAGTCATGTTCAGTGTATTTCTTCAAATTAGTCTTGTCGATTGGCCTAGCTTATTAGAGTGTGTTATGGAAATAAGGAAGATGATCTGTGAACAGTAGAACCTGTGAAACCTGATTTCTTCAAGGAATTCTGTTGTCTGTCCCATACCTTAGTAACTCCAGTTTTCTTTGCTCTATATGATAATTTCCCCAAAAGAGCGAGGTTGATAGGCTGGTTGGTCTGTGGTTGACACCAAATGTCATATGTAAACTGGAGTCACCCAACCTGTGTACTGAAAACCTTTATGTAAGATATTTGCAGATGTTTTTTGTATAACATGGTGTATTTTCTGAGTGCTGCCAAACTGTGCTGGATCTGAGCTACCTGCCTCTATTCTGCTGACTCAGCTGAGTGTGTGTTTCCTAATGTAGAAAGTATTTTTCATTTTAGCTATCAGATTTGCGAGTTCATGTATGAACGAGAGCTTCGCTATGACAAAATAATTGACTGTTACCTGCGTGATCCAGTGAGAAAAGTGAGTAAATCTGGTGCTTCTGGCCTTTCTTCTTCACAGCAGTGCAGCCTGCCCTGCTCCCCAGAGCTTGAATGGGCACAACAGCCCTGCTCAGAAGAAGCGGAAGTTGTACTTCTCTGTCTTAATAAGTGTCCTCCTTTACAGTTGGGTTTTCTTAGTTACAGTTAAGGCTTTTTCTGTTCATGTGTGTGTTGGAGAGGAGATGATTTTGTTTTTAAAGCTTTGGAGTTTTCCTTTCTTTTTAAATGTAAACAATGCTAATACGTGAAACTTGAGCTCAAGATGGGATTGATTGGAGGTGTTGCTAACTACAATACTACTTTGTTTCTGCCACCAGCCCCCTCTCTTTTCTCCCCCCAGACAGACTGTCTGCCCTTAATATCTCTTTGCGATTACCTTCTGCATGTGCACAAGTTGCATATCTGCCACAGTTTTTGAGGTATTCTCTTTCCTAAAACCAACAGAAGTTGGCAAATGGAATCTTACCAAATCCTTGTAAAGCCACTATGCTTAAAGTTGTGTGGGTGAATGAGTCATAAGAGAGAGGTTTTGATAGAGAGATGGTCAAAAAATCTGGCACAGGAGAGCATCTGAGCTGTGGACAGTACAGGAGAACCTGGGAGAGAGGCTAATGTTGAAGAGGAATTCAGGAATATGCTGGGAAAACTGACCTACCCTCTGATGGAGCATACTTTTCTCTGCCTATGCTCCTAGCTAAGAGTGATGTCCTGTCTTTTTCCCCTGTAAGCACAAGGGGGACATTTTTAATAGTGGAAGAACAATTCTCTTTGACCTCAGTGCTTAACGTGTTTAGCATCCGTTCTGTTCCTTTTGCCTGTTTTTGTGCTGGCAGTTCCTCAGAAACTATTTAGGGACATATAATCTTGCTTGCAGATAATTTACGCTAACTTGCTAAGAGAGGACTAGCCCTGAGGTCACCTAAAACTGAAATGTTCTTCCTTAACAAAATCTAATGCTGTTAGTGTTCTAATGCAGAACATACTATGCCATTTATGGGTTTATGCTTTACAGGAAGAAGTTTTCAACTATATTCACAATATCCTGTCCATGCCTGGCTACAGCACTGAAGAAAAGCAGTCAGTGTGGCAGAAAGCTTTGGAACACATAGAGGTACAGTGTATCCTAAACCTACGATACTTCAGCTACTGCTAACTCCTGTTGGATCTGCCTAGTGCTGTTCTGTAAGTGGAAGTGTCACAATGTGGATCACAACTGTTTAGAAAGCTCTGTCTTTAAGGTTCGGCAGTCTCATGCATTTTTATAAGTGCATCTCTTAGATTTAGGAGGCTTCCTTGGTTTCCTGCTCTTTTGATAATAGGACTTTATCAGGGGATGATGGCTAGTGGGTGCTGTATAGCAGGGAAGGGATGCATTAACAAGCCTTCTGTCTTCTGAGCATGCAGCAGCAGCAAGGACAGGACATTGACATCTCTGACCTCACAGTCTGTGGTATCCAGTTCCTTATGTTACAGTGATAATAGCATTCAACCTTGGTACCGTGGCACTTCTAACCTGTGGGAAGATGGAGTTGTGACTTCTACTGTAAGACACACACTGTTGCTAGACTTCTTTAGCTAGTAATTTTCACCATGTCTTTAAGCTGTCTTTGCTTCAGGGAGTGGAGATGTGTCTGAAATAATAGTCCAGTCAGTAGACATAGAGGACCTGTAATATCTCTAGTTCCTGTAAAGTGGTGTCAGTCCCCTAAAGGCTTATCTGGAGATAAGCCAGGAACCTCTGTCTATAAAACAAGCAGTCATGCATTTGCTCAGCCACAGAAGGGCCACAGAAGCCTGTATCTTTTGAGGTGGACAAAGAAAGTACTGGGTACATTTGAAATATACAGAATACTTTTGATGTCTGCCAGCATCCGCAACTAGTGCATGGCTAATGAGGAAAATGGACCAAGAGCGAAAATGATTAAAAAACAATAAACAAAGAAATCCTGTGAATCCAGCTGTATGATGTGCAGTTCACACCCACTCTCTAGATGCACTTTCAGAGCCTGTGAGAACTGTTGGGGGTGATGGCTGTGCTGTGACTGAGCTGGCCTGGCTTGTTACTGCCTTACCAGAGCAACTGTGATTCCATGCTGGGCTTTCCAAGTTGAGCACACTGCTGCCTGCTGTGCTGCTTCCTGTGTCTGCTTTGTTCTCATACTGCATCCTTTGTCTCTGCTTGCATTGGTATATACAACCCAAATTGTTTGGCGTTGTGAGTGAGTCAGCCTCCCTCTGTAAGCTTTGTGTCTTTCAAATTATAGGTAGGTCTCTCTTCAGCCTGAGGCCTTTACAATTGCTGTTCCATGCACGGGTGTCTCAGGACAAATCAGGAATGTTCTGGGTTGCCCTTCCTGATGTTTCTCGTTGTGTTCTACCAGTTTTGGTAAGCTTCTGATAAGCAAAGACTGCCAGTTTTTCATATTGAGTTGTTTGTTTTCTCAGTCTGGAGCTACTTCTGATTATTATACAGTGCCCAACTTGTCAGAGCTGGTACTTTTCTTAGTTGCCATCTTTAAAAACAAGGGTTTCTTGCACTGTTCCATTAGCCTTGTAGAGAACATCCAGGTGCTTTTATCTATGCATTTTGTAGTTTCCTCCAAAAAGCTGCTGGGCAGATGATCACTTCTGTTGGTCACCTTTCTTGGGTGCTGTCACTAAGATCAACTCCCTCTTTCCTTTTGGCATCTTCTATTTCCCAGGATTGGTGAACAGTATACTCAATTACATGTGGTTTAACAGCTTATTGGCTGCTAAGGGCTTTTGTAATTTTCCGTTTTATTAATCCTGCTCTCAGACATTCAGAAGACTTAAAATAGTAAATAACATTTTACTGGGGCAGTGCTGTGATTTCAGGTATTGGAACAACTGTCCTTTCATCTGCTGAGGTGTGAAAGCAGCAAACCGGACTCTTTAGTTGAAACCAGCAGTGTCTAGAGAGGCTTTCTTGGTGATCATATGACAGAAAGTGGCGTTTGTGATCAGTGCCACTTCTTATTTTCTCTGTCATCCTACACAGCTGTTGCTCCTTGATGTTTATCTTGAAAATAAAGCCTAAGGCTTCTCTTCAGTCATAGCACTGTTTGTGGTGATCACTTTCTGTCCTCAGACCTACATGCCTTGTGTCAGTCCCCTCTCCTTTAAGGACTGTCTGCCTGTCGTGGTTCAAGCCCAGCCGGCA